CCCCGGGGGGGGGGTAGGGGACTCACCACAGGCACCATCGAACTTCTTGAAAACGTTCTCTTGCTTGTCGCAGGCGTGCTTATTGAGGTCGCACTCGCTGCGGTAGTCTTTGCCGTCACTGCCGCACACCGTGCTCTCGGGCACGCCGCTGCAGGACGACGGACAGACGCACTTGGCCGACTGGCCGTCAGTGGAGCGGACGCACGTGCTGCCGAAGCTGCAGGTCACCTCTGCGCAGGGGTCCTTGGAGCCTGCGGGAGAGAGCAGGGGGCACGGCGCAGGCGTGGTGAGCACGACGTCCCGCGCTCCCGTGCCACGCTCGCTCTTCTCACGGGACAAATAAGCCCGACACACCACAACATCTACCTACACAGCCCCAGCCCCGCCGAGTGCCCAGAAACGGATACGATGGCAATGGATGTCCTTCCCTCGGCTTCGGCGGATGCTGCACCCCGTGGCATGTACCCGGTCCCGCGGCAGCGAGCTCCTCCACCCCGATGCCCGCGGGGGGCAGGCAGGATGGTGAGGCTGTAGGATCAGCCCCAAACCCACGGCACACGAGGGAGCTCGCTCCCCAGCTGGCACTTCAGGCAGAACCCCTCCGTTCTAAACCTCTCGGTCTCACTGCTGCAAGCTCCCTTCTCTGCACATGCTCTCAGAGCCTCTCGCTCCAGCAAACGAGCAAAACGAGGGTCCTTAAGGCACCTCCTGCAAATCGTAATTAGAGGAAGAGCTCAAGGAGCAATTTCCTCACTGACAGGGAAGGGCCAAAATTTATTTGCCAGCTTTTTTTGCCTTTTTTCCCCTTTATTTGTCACTTTTTTTATGATTATTATTTTAAATAAATCACCTGCCACTCTCTCCCCTCTGACAAGAGCCCCAGCAGGAGTGCCGGGTGCAGATTTATTGCAAGCCAGAGCGCTGCGTGAGAGAAAGGTCAAGTTAATTTACTCTGAGATGAGGAGACTGGGGTCTCATTTACACAGCTCCTTGCTCACAGCTGGTGAATGCCAGGCTGGGGAAGGGCTTTCATCAGCCCACCCAGCCTGCGCAGACGCCTGGTCCCTCCAACTTCTAGCCGTGGCGGATGTGCCCCGCTCTGGGTGTGTGCAGCAGGCAGAGCTGCCCCAGACAGGGCTGTTCCCCGCGCACCTCTTGAACGGGCTTTGGCCATCGTTTTGCCCGCTTATTAAATTCTGCCAGTCACCAAGGCAGAGCTGGTCGTTCTCTCAGTGTCCCTTCCCATCAGACTTGTCCCCATCTCCCAGGACATCACCAGCACCGCAGTGAGGACAGGAGCTCGGGACATCTCCCTGGCCTCAGGCAGTCACCTCCTGAAAGCAGGAGAGCCTGCCCTGGCACTCACCGCACGGGCCCTTGCTGATGACTTTGATCCGCCTTTGCTGGTTGCACTGGGCCTTCTCCAGCTCACACTCGTTGCTGTAGGTGGAATAATCAGAGCCGCAGACAGGAGCCACCACGACGGGGCAAGCTGTCTTCTTGCAGACGCAGGAGGCCTGGGAAGGGTCGGTGGAGCTCCTCTCGCACACTGCCCCGAACCCGCACAGCATCCCTCGACACGCTGTGGGCACAGACACGCACAGAGCGGTGAGCCGCGGCTGCTCCTCCGCGCAGAGGAGGGGTGCAGAGGCGGTGAGCCGCGGCTGCTCCTCTGCGCAGACGAGGGGTGCAGAGCGGCGCCCGTGCCTCCCCTCCCTGCCCTGGCAGAGCTGCTCACACCGCCCAGGCTCGGGGACCAGGACTGCACAGGCAGGGCCAGCGCAAGGAGGATGCTCTAGGCACAGCAAGGTCCTTGCCTGGCTTACGGCAAGGATGTCACCGTCTCGGCATGCCGCCTCTCGCTGCCGGCCAGGAAGCAGGCGGTTAAGTCGGGTCCTTCTGCAGGGATGCCTAGGGTGCGTTTGGGGCGCAGGGGGGCTGAGCCAACCTCCCCAGAGCCACCCACCCCAAAGCCACGTGCCTGAACAAGGGTCTGCCCAGCACGGCACCCCCCTTTGCCCTCAGGCACCACGCTACCGTCCACGTTTGTGCCGTGGCAGCGTCTCACGAGTGACTGAGCCCCACTGCCCTGTGAGAGCGGTCGGGCAAGGCAGGATACGTGCTAGGCACCTTCACCCCACGCGAGGACAGGGAGGGAAAAGGCTTGGGTACAGCACGGTCCAAAAGGAGCTAACAAACCCACGGTTAGCCCTCCTGCCTCCTCCGTGCCCCTTCTCACTCCAGGCTGCCCGTTGTGTTTATTGCCAGCGTGAACTGGAGAAAGAAAGGTCTGTCACCAGCTCTGCACCACGGCAGGGAGGTCAGGGCCTTACTCGTTAGCAGGGAGGTGCCTCCAACCCCACCGCAGGCACGGAAGAGCATCCCCAGGGCTCCAGAAAACACTTGCTCTGCCCAGGGCCCCTCTGCCGAAGCCTTTGTGAGTCCTCCACAACACAATGATGTGTTTTCTCTAACCAGCAAGAGAAAGGAAAGTCAAGGAACAGAGAAGAAAACATCCTCACCTGTCCCAGCGCGGGACAGACCGTCCCGCACGCA